TCAGGACACTTGTAGATGCTCTGAGAAGAGCATGAGTGTTTATGTGATCAGAGTCTGCTTTTTCCCTGGAAAAGATAGTCCTTGAAGGCAGCATACCTTTAAGGTACCTTTATGTTTATTTAAGAAAAACTTTAAGGGACATTTTTTACTGATTATACTCAGTTATATGATACACATGTCCAAACTAGCTCTAAAATTAAGCGGAAGCTTAGGTATTCGTTGCCTAAATTAAGCCTGATTTATGACTTCTTTTTTAATTCCACTTTTACAACAAAGTGTCATCCCATGTATCTGTGAAAAGACATTGATTCTGGTTGTTATTGCTCCAAAGTATATTAAAAAAATGCAAATAGACATTTCCCCGTCGTTTCTTCTAAGTGTAGATGCTAAAAGGTTAAAGAAACCCTTTGTTAATCCTTCTTTTCTGCAATATTTTCTGTAATATTTGAATCCCACTATCAGCAGACTCAAAGTTTTCCCACATTAAAAATGTTATATGTGTTTTAGACTTGGAAATGCGAGAAAAAATGAGGAGGAAAGTATTTAAAGAAATGGGTGAAAAATAGTTTTTTTTTTCTTGATCTTTGGGTGGCGTTTAGCCGCGGTGAGTTCACGTACCGAGAAGAAAAGCGGGAGAAAAGCAACGCCAGCTGCCGGTGAGCGGAAAACGGCTTTGGGAAGAACCGTGGCCCCTTTCCAGACCGCGAAAGGGCCACCTTTCCAGGTGTGCTGTCTCTTTAAGAGGCTCCACGACTCTCCTGTTCCTCTTTTTTTTTCTTTTCTTTTTCCCCCAGCTGTGTGTTTCTCTATGGCGAAGGCGTAAACAAACACAACACAGCGAAACGTGCTGGAAAGCAGCAGTCACCGTGAACACATCACCCCACCAACCACCGTCGGTGACTAACGGCAGTTTAAAATAGTCCAGTGACTGCTGGCGGTTGGGTGTTTGCTCCGGTGGTTTTGTTGGGAGGTCGATTTTTTCGGGAGCGGACAGCGATGAAAAGAACCGGAACAGTTTTACCGGTTCAGTGTGAGCAGCTCAACCGGAGGAAG